CACACTTTCTAAAGGAGCCATGAACCACAGTTCTTGCTGTGAAATAGAAAACTTTTAGAATTTTGCTGTGTGGGCACTTAACTGCATGGTGAACTGTAAGTTCAGCTTGATGCTGGTTCATTTAAATTTCCTTATTTTTCTTCCATAAATGGAGCAGGAATTAGTTTCAGAGCAGAAGTATTTGGTTGTATTTTGGGTGTTTAGTTTTTTTGGTTGTTTTTTTGTTGTTGTTGTTTTCAAAGTTTTATTTGGTTTTGTGTTCTGTATAAGAAAGCAGTATTCTTTAATAAATTAGGTGTATGCAAAAAACCCAGCAGAAATTCACTCTGCTGTTGACCAGAAGGTTCACCCAAGCAGAAACAATCAAAGACAACAGTAAGGAGAATAGAGATCTTCAAGGTCTATCCATTACAATTAATTTCATTTAAGTTTGAGCATAACCAGTCAAGATGGAGCTTCACTGAAGCAAAAGGTGATTTAGGATTCTCTGACATCTATAAGTTGAGCTCTGTGACAAAGAGAAAATACATCCTAATTGACATGAAGTGGAAGTAAAGGTGCAGCGTGGTGTACAGACCTCTGCAGATACTGGGGGTCAGGCTAGGTAGAACTTGGGAAGCTTGATTCAAGTAACATGGAGAATTTAAGGATTATAATAAAATCATATCAACTGTAATTAAAGGAGCCCAGCATGGAAACAGATGCCTCTGAACCCTGCACTGCCATTATAGAATAGTGAGGTTTTCCGAAACACAGTTCCTCTACAGCTGGAGTTACAGCTAAGAATGGAAATGTTGCATCAAGTACGTCAGGCTTTGACGGAGCCCGGCAGTTTCTGTTCTAGGGAGTTTGTGAGGTGTGGGCTGGCATAGAAACACTTAAGCAGGTACAACTGTAGGAATCCAAAATAGCCTTCCTGCTTCCTCCTCCCTTGCCTGGTCTGTTCATAGGAAAAAGCGAAGTTATTTACTGATAGACTGAGAAAACTAAACAGTTCTGTGATACTGTTATTTAATATAACGATGTTAAGAAATTTGGATTAATAAAGGTTGAGAGGAGGAGGAGGAGGAGGGCAATTGCTTTTTCTCTACAGTACCTGTTGCCTGCCCTTTTGTCTGAACACACCCTTACAGCTGTGTTCAGTAAAGGTGATGCCTTGATACTACCATAGCCCTGTTAGTTTGCCATTTGTGCTACCCTTTTTCCCTCATGCCAGCTCTCCAGTGAATGATCTAAACCAAATAGTAATGGGCAACTTGGGGACTAAAACAGTATCACCAGATAATTCTGGACCATGAGGCTGGTTTTGGCATTTGCAATGACAGTACACAAGAGCACCAAAGCATAAACAGCTTTAAATGTCACAGTGTGACATGAAGCTGGTTACATTGTCAGTAAGGAAGTATGATTAATGTATGATAAGATGCATCATGTCTGTGACAATCAAAGTGAAGACGATGGAGGAGAAGGTGGTTCCCGTCCCCCAGGGCCAGCTAAATGAACTACAAATACATCATTGGAGACAGTGTGAGCTCGTGATGGGCTCTGCAGGTGAATTAATAGCATGCTGCATGTCAGAAAGCCAGGAGGGGAAAGATGCTAAAACAAAACAAGCAGCGGAAGAGAAAAGCCTTGCAACAAAAGGTACAGGACACGACTCATTTATTTATCAACAATATCAAAACACCCTCTTCACCAAGCGCACTGGGTGAGGAAATGCTCCATGCCTGAACCTGCTCTTAATCCAGATTGCAGCCTCGTGCTGGGGAACCTGTACAAAGTAATCTCCTCAGTACGTGGCAGGATCTGTCCAGCCAAAGTGCTTACAGAGCACTGGACCAGGCTGCCCAGAGAGGTTGTGGAGTCTCCTTCTCCGGACACATTAAAAAACCCGCCTGGACACGTTCCTGTGTGGCCTAGTCTAGGTGATCCTGCTCTGGCAGGGGGGTTGGACTGGATGATCTTTCGAGGTCCCTTCCA